AAAAACATATATTTGAAAAATTTTACAAAATTCTATTCATTCTTTATCATATAATATATATACAAATTTAAAAATTCCGAATATTTATGACGATCACTGTATTATTATCTGTCTTTATTTTATTGAGATACTAATATAAGACTATATTTTTTAAGAAAATGGTAATATACTATATCTAAATTTTCTCATTTGTGATTTCTTAAGCTTGAAATATAGTTTTAACTTGCATGATCTAGACAAGTACATTTTTATTTAGTTCTTTAGAATATATTGATATTTTAATTGAGAGATAAGAGAAGAACTTAGAACTAGAAAGATCATCTTCTTTAACTATTTTAATTAATTTAGTTATGCTTTACATAAATTGAACAAATTATTTTGAGTTCATCTTGACAATATTATTTTATTAAAACTAAAATATGTATTTAAAATATATAATATATAAGTATAAGATATTAAAGAGTGATCTTTATAATAATCATATTTATTATTATCAAGTTATAAGATTATTTTGTTAATAATTATAAATAAAATAAAATATGATATAAATAATTATAATTTTATAATTTATAATTGTTTTTATTATTTAAAAATATTCAGATCTGAAATTAAAAATACAGAACAGACAGATCATATTTATAATAAAAGAAATAAATATGAAATGCAAATAAATTAATAATAATTTCTAATTAAAATATATATATATTGAATATAATTAACTTAATTTATATCTTTAAAAGATAACTAATCATAATCTAATAAGTAATAATATGATAAATAATTATAAATAATAATATAAATATGTAATCTTTCTAGTTATATTATATAATATATTAGAAAAATTCACACAGAAGATTCAAGATATATAATGATATTATTTGAAATAGAATTATTACTAGATTTTTTATTAGTCTTATTTACATATTATATAAATTCTTAATATTTTATTTAATATTTTATTAAGTCTTCTATTTAATTATTAAACTATTAATAAATATTATTAATATTATCAGTTTAATTTCAAGCTTATAATATTATTATATCTATTTGATATATTAGATTTTAAAAAGAACAAATTAAATAAGTTTATAAGAGATTAATTTATATTCTGAAAGAATTTCTTAACTAATTATAAAGATATTATATTAGTAACTATAGTTATTATAAATAATAAAGATATATTTATTTTATTATAAGAATAATTTGAAAAAAGAAAAGAAAATTATATAATATAATGTAATATAATAAATAAGACTATTACTTTAAGAATTATAAATCAAATTTACAATATTATAAAATATATTACTAAATAAATCTCTTTATAATTATGCTATTTTATTAAGAAATTAATATAATAATAACTTTTTTTCTGGTAAAATAACAAAATCTGAAGTTTAAAAACATAAGCAAGAGATAATATTATTTTAATTATTTTATATCTTATTATAATTTATCTTGATTAAAAACTCAAGAATATCTTATAATGAATATATATTTTATATTATATTAAAGTATACTCTATTTACAGAATGATAAGAAATATTTTATCAAATAGTATATCAAATAATATATTAATATTATATTAAATATTATATAAAAGAATATATCAAATAGTATTCTAAATAATATTTTAAATTAAATGTACTAGTAATTGAATAATCTATCAATTATTATATATTAATTATCACTGTTATAAATTATGATATAGAATATCCAGATCTAAATTAATTTTAACATTAATAAATGCTTGTATATCCAGAAGTTACTATATATAATAGTAGGTATACAAAAAAGAGAATATATAAGAAAATAATATAAAAAAATCACATGTTCAATTCAGATTATAAAAATATATCTAATGATTTACCTAGATATATTCAATGATTTATCTTTTTTTTGATATATTCAATAAAATTTTTTTTTAATATATTTAATATATTCAATACTTTTTTGATAAATATATATTTTAAAGCTAATAAAAAGATTATCCAAGTCTGAATTACTTAAAAAAAGAAATATCATTAGAATATACAAGAAAAGCTTGTAATTTTAACCTATTTTGAAAAGTAATTTATACAAAGTATTTATACTATAATAATTATATTTAATATTAAGCCCAAGCAAATTTGTGACTAATATCAAAAAAAAACAAGTACTTTTATAAGCTTCTTTATATGTAAAATAGTTGAATATTGATTAGCTAGAAAAATATTCTTTATTAGAAAATAAATTGAATAAGTGAGTTAAGTAACTTAAATAAGAATAAAAATCAATATTATAATATTTAATTCAACTATACATAAAAGATTTGGCAAAAAAATCCAAATATATTAGTATTTATTCAGATATTAATAATTTTATATTTTCTAGTAAATAACTTGATGAATTTATAAACTATTATAATTTCAGTCTTTGGCATTATACTATAATAATATAATATTTTATTTTATAATTTTATTGAAAAATAGCAAGAGTTTCTTAGCTTTGTTTTTTATAAAAGAATATTATACAACTTTTTTCTCAATCTAATCAGCAATATGGATGAAACTTCTTTATCTTTTAACTTGTCATCTGATAGTATTATTGATAAAATAGATATATATACAGTATTAATTTGAATATATAAATATGAAAAATCATGTTTTAGTATTGTACTAGCATGTATAACAGATGGAATAAAGTTATTTCTAATAATAATTTTTAAATTATTAAAAGTATTATAACAAGAATTTCCTTCAGATATAATTGTAAGAGCAAATTCAATAGGCTAGATGAATAAGGAAGAAATGATTTTTTGGATTAAAAACATATAGAATTAGCACACAAAATTTTTAATTGATTTTCATTCTCTTTTGATTTTGGATTCTTTTTCAGATTATATTGTTGATTCAGTTATTCATTATTTCAGAGAAAAAAATACAACTATTGCTGTCATTCCAGATAGATTAACTTCTAAAATTCAATCTTTGAATATTTCTATTAATAAATCATTTAAAATAAAGGTAACTAACTATTTATAAATTAAATTATATATTGTATAAAATTATACAAATTCATTTAATTTATTTGTAGATTTATCATTACTATAATGAATAGATATCTAATAGTATTAAAAACTATATCAAAACTGGTTGAATTCAACATCCATCTTACAATTTAATTACCTAATGGATTTATAATGTATAGAACTGAGTTGATTCCTTTCTTATTCAAAAATCTTTCAAAGTTTGTGGCATTTCAAATTCTTGAGATGGAAAAGAAGATCAATTAATTTTTGATTATGAATGAGTTGGATTACGAAATCAAGAATCTTTTGATATAATTGCTGAATTTAGTAATAATAATGGTGAAGGATCTAGCAGAGGTGAAGAAAATTCTATTGATAAATTTTTAAATTTGGAAAAAAATGTAGAAAATAATCAAGAAAATGAGTTTTATGAAGCTAGCCAACTTAGTTATATCAATGATTGGATTAATAATTAGGTTTTTTAATTTTCTTTATTAATACTAGTTTAAATAAATTCAAATTTTTTACTAAGATATAATATAGATCTGGATCTTAATCAATTTTTTGGAATGATGTCTTTAATATATACCCAGATACAATATATGGAGGGTATTTTATTAGGGGGAGGGGGGTATTCTATACAGTAATTTACGGTATATGTAAAAAGTTAAGTTGAATAAAATTCTATTATTATATTTGTCCGGAGCGTAAGCGGAGGACTTTACAATATGTGAAAAATTGATTGTCGCGTGGTGGTTCTCCACGTGACTGGTTATAAATAAATAAACCAATTAAAAAATTTATCGCTCCGGACTCATAATGGTTCACCATTGCCTAGTATAACTAATAATGGACAGAATAAGAAAAGTGTTCGAAGTATGTATTTGAATATGCTATTTTGGCGCTATTGTGTTTTGCTAAGTTCTATTCTATTTTTTATATTACTATTGTTATTACATTTTTTTCTATTATTATTTTTCTTTGTTTCTTCAGACACAAGTTGATCACTTGCAGGTCACGTCGGAAAGATTACAGGCAATTAAGAAACTTTAATATTAATGGTAACATTACGCATGATTTTGGAAAGTTATCGGGAGTAAGTTACTTATGTCGGGACTGTACATGCATTTTGTTAGACAAATTCATTTATTAAGTATAATCTTTATTTAGCACTGAAATCTTCTCTTGATCACCAGATCTGTCCGTAAACGATTAGTGTAACTAAAAAATGAAATATTAATAAGTACTTCAGTACTTTATTAGGTCCTATTCGTTTGCTTGATTGGGTTAAAATATATACTATCGCTATGTTGTTTTGTTATTTACGAATAATTAGATTATTTGCGAAAGATTAGATACTTTTAATGATTGTGTGTGCGGCTGCGTACATGTAAATACTTAATTGCATGCTGTAATATGTTTGTTTATTTAAATAAATTTAACCTATTCAAATTCCATATCCATAAATAAAGATAATGTAAAAAATAAGAACTTGAGAGCAAGAATAAAAGTAGAACAGACAGAACATATCAATTAATTAATAAATTTGCAAACAAATTTTAATTACGAATAGTTTTTCTATATTAAGTATTAATTTCAAATTTCATTTGGCTCACAAGAAATCAATTCATTAAAAAGAGCTTCATATATATCTACATCTTTACTATGACTGTTGCAATTTATCTTATCGTTGTTGTTATTTTCAGCGAAATCGTTTTCGAACGAGTTTTCGAACGAATTTTGAGCATCACTGATTGTAATGTTTTTAGCCTGACTATAACGAGTTAGCATCAAATCATTAAAATTAGAATCATCTTGATGATCATAAATGACTGTAGATATTCTTGATGCTAAGGATGGTGACCGATCGATTGAGTGGGTTTTGACCGGGAAGTTAAATACATACTTTTTCTGTGCTCGAAAGGTAAGTTTTTTATTGCTGGAATCTTTTGCTTTTTTTGGTTGATATTTGTAATCCGGATACATACACTTATGTTTATTGCAAGCTATTTTTGCCAATATTTTGAAAAAATCCTTAACTTCACTTGATTGTTGATTCCATTTCTTACTACAATCCTTTGCTGTTTGTTTAACTGTTCGCCTGACATCAGGATCACGTAAGCGTATATTAGCTTCATAATCTTTTCGGAAAATAATAAAGCTATTTTGTGGTCGTGGTGGGTTATCACAAATACCGCGTTCTTTTTGAGCAGGTTTTGTTAACTTATCAATCGTGAGAGTAAGTGCATAAGGACGTTTGCTTAATAATTTTCTTTCGATTTCTGATAAAACTTCGAAATTACTCATATTTTATTGGACGTTCGGATGATAATAGATTTATTTAAGAAAATTTTTACAGATTACTGAAAATGAAAGATTCTTCGAATGTCTTTAAATAATTCTTATTGTTTTTTAGCGAACATTATACATACTACTATACACACTGTGTGTATAATATATTATAGTATTTATATCGATATGTGACATATTTTATATGGATGAAAGTATTACATGTACATACATTTAGCCATTACATAAACTTGAAAAAGCGCTTTTAATTACGTAACTTGAAAAAATGTGAAAGTTGATAAAACGGATCACTCTTCCCTAACATATTGCCCGAAAAATCAATAATTGAGTAAGCTTATAACGTAATGGTATTATAGCCGGTTTTGGAATATTAACGGATTTAAATCTAATTTCTAATTAAATTTATGCCGTTTCGCCCATGTATTTTTCTGAATCAGCCATATTTGGAAAAAAATTTTTTTTATGACGATCTTTACAATTCTTTGGAGAACGCTAAAGTAAGGTAGTACATGTACTATCAAATCGCTAGAAATTTCATTATAGACATTTAGGATGGTTAAATTTAATCAATTAAAAGACAGAACTATATCTAAATTTTTGTGTTGAGCATTTTTACTTAGTGATAAAAGGCCAGTTATCACGATTTTTCTTTTGTTTGAATTTTTGCGCGTTTGCAATCGGATTGATTAAATTTTTATGTTAACACTTGATCTTTACGATTGGATTGGCAGTTTACCCTTTTTTGAAATACATAAATTGTAAAAAATGTACTTAAAATTTTCAATGCAAATTTTACAAGGAACATTTTCGTCGGAGGTTAATTTCGAGTTAACATGTTTTGAAAAAATTTTATTCTGAGATTCGTAAACTTGCAATTTTTGTGGTCACAACAAATCGTCGTGATTAATTGGTCACTCGAAACAACTTATAACTCAAATTCTGCTTGATGCGCTATACCGTGACTTTTTTTTGGAAGTTTATTAGTAATTCTCTTTATCGAGTGGATTTATTGAAAAGGTAATTTTGGATATTATCCATTGTATCATGAGTTATTTTTGTTTTATTTTATTTTATTTTTATATTCTTAGTATTAGTGATATGGCAGGTTAAACTAATAAATAACTGATTCTTTAAACAATAAACATTATAAATCAATACTTTATATATATATATATTAATATTGATATGACGGTAAATTTTTCAAATAAACTTGAAAATCTAAGTTCTATTTAAATAAAAAAATGAGAAATTCATTCAAATAAATGTCTGTTCGAAACTATCTAGGAAAATAAAGCAGTAAGCACAAGCGAAGCAATGAGATTTCCAGTCAAGCGAAATAGTTAGTCTCACAATTTTCACTGCAAAATTAAAAATGTTATAAAGAGGATCATGATAATTTAAAATCATAAACCAATTCCTATACTTTGTTATATATCCAATGAATTTCTTGAAATTACATAAATTTATAAATTTAGTTGAAATTAATTGACATTTGCCTAAAATTTACTAAAAGTCTGTCTGAATAACATTTTCCAGATATTAATTGTTAATATGCATACAAACTGATATTCTTATCGTTTCCTATATGAATACTTGATTTATCTTTTATTATTTGAATGATAGTTATTAAAATGGACACTCATTAAGCCGGAAATGCGCTTAATCCGGCAAATACATGTATTGCGGCACAAATTTTTTACATCGCTTTGATATTCTTTTTATCTGTTAAGCTGGAAATTAGAATGAAATTATGTCATAATATTTTTTCGAAGAATAAAAATTTGTCACATTTTTTCGCCAATACCGGTAAATTGGAAACTCGCTAATCCGAAAATGATCTAAGTCTAATAAATATTCCTAACCTGAAAAATATTAGATTATCTTCTATTAAAAGTACAGTGATTAACGAGATTAACATGTACATTTCATTAAGCAACTTATTAACTATTAAATATAAACCATTAATGTGTTCTTCACAATTTAATTTTATCACTTTTTAGAATTTCGGACTTTAAAATCCTAAATTTCAATAGTACATACAAATAAATATATTTATTATAAATTCAATAAAATTAATTACAGAGGCAAAACGTTCTATTTCCTATGTATTATGATTTGAAACATATCTATTATTGATAAAATTTCAACGTTGCATGATGTATAAGGACAAGTATTTCTCAGAAATATTAGCTTATGGAATCATTATACATTACAAAAATTTGACATTAAATGTTATACATCTATAATCAAAAAAGACAGAGAAAATAAGTCTTATTATACATTCTTTTGAAAGAGCATGTAAGCTATTATTAGCGGGAGAACGCGTCTTATGACAAACCACAATTAACTTTCTTTTGTACGAATTATGTCAATGATTCATCGGATGTAAACATTCTAACTAGTTATTAGTTATTTCAAATTTTTATTTTTTCTTTGCTTCTTAGAATTTATATTAACCCAAACAAATAGTACTTATTAGACACACTAATCGCACAAATCTGGAAGGCTACACTATTAAAGATACGATAAGTGTATAAATTAGTTTTCAAGCAATGTTTAATTTAATCATAATAAAAATTTGGTCTAACAAAAATAAATTATAGAATATCTTATAGCTATCCCAGGTTTCATTTACATATATTGACATCTTATCTTTTCAAATTTATTGGGTTGGGAAGAAAATAATTCTAAAAATACAAAGAAAATTTTCGTTTCTGTAATTACACTTGCAAATTTAAATATCAGCATTCTGCGAATCTCGGAACTTCTTGTGTAACATTATGTACATGTGCTACATGTATATTCCTATCATATGGTTACAAACATTTTATAAATAGAATTAATTGCGTAAATAAGATAATAAATGTTGATCTATTACAAAATAATGAATAAAATTAACAATAAACTACATTCGTATCGGTACGTTCATTCTTGTTGCATTCCACATGTACATGTGCAAAGTTATCGTTATTACACTGTTATCTATTATGCAATACGTAATATGAGATAAACAGAAATATGTTATCGTTATGGAATAAAATAATTCAATAATAGTATGTCTATATTTAGAATTCTATTTCTATGTACTTTGTGATTTATAATTACACGAAAAATTAAAATTCCAAATGTTTTCGTTCTTTCTCATACTTTTGGAGTATTATGATTCCGAATGTCGTATAATCCAAATCCAATATTATTTGAAATCATTAGTAGATTCTGTATATCCTAAAAATAAAGAATGAATTAATGGCTTTTCTTTTTTTGTAAATTTTCAAGTTACTTACAATAGTTGAAAGGTCTATTCCATTTAAGTTTGACGAAAAATAATTTTTATTCAAATCAGAGCTATTTTGGCTCCTTGGAATAATTCCCGTCAAACTATCGATTATATTATCTATGTTGTTTAGACGAGATTCAAGAATGTCTATGCATTGATTATCTTTATTACAGAATTTGCAATTTGTTGAGTTTTTAGTATTCAATCGTCGTGCTTGAGGATAAGCAGCTCCTTTCACTGTAAATATATATCTTCTTCCGGTTGTGTCTATTTCATTGGATTTTTTATTTTTAAGATTTTGCATTGTGCCAGAAAATTGCGATAAAACCATTTTATAATAAAAAAAATTAAGAAATATGAAAAAAATAAAGAAATGTGGAAAAAGAGACTACATGTATTTATAAACAAATAGATATATGTACTACACAGTTATGTAAGTTTCTTCGATTGAGGATTTAATTATTTTTTTGCATCATAATGTAAATTTAACTTATTTCTTTTGATGCTTTTCTTTCGTATATTCTTATATAATAAAATTTAAGTTATTATCTAACTTTTTCATTTTTTACTCTTTATTCATGCAATAATTTTCTAAAGAAATTTATGAATACCTATTTTTAAATTTATGAAACTATTTATTTCTACTGCATGCACTTTTTGATGAATATTTTCAACCTATAAAAATTCTTTATTTTAATCTCTTTAATAAGAGAGGTTTTCGTTGATTTACTTTTGCAGATTATTAATTTGAATTCTGCGTAATTCTTGGGATACTAATTTAAATGACGTATATAATGCTTTATTGTTTTCAGAGTATTATCAAATCAGAATTTGCATATTTTATAAATTTCACTGCACTCCTGCGAAATTTACGAAGTATTGAATATAAACACCAATTACTCGAAGTAGGTTAGTAAATTCCTATATTAATATCGTTGCATGTAAGCACTTCAATTATGTTAGTTGCGTGCAATCTCATTCGCTGCATCATTTCTATTCGCATGTATATTTGCACTAATAACAGATGTGGAGTTACTTTTTGACGTATTTTATTGGTTTCTGTTAAAACACATTACATAAATAGTTAAACATTGAAATATCAATTTAATATGAAGATAAAAAAGACGTTATGATTTTGGCGTTGTTGAATTACCAAATGTGAGTTATAAAATCATAAAAATAATCTTATCTGCAACTTTTCTCCGCTTTATTGATGCACCAATTGCTACAAATAGATCTTCTATGTATCTATCATGACCAATCGGAAAATTTTAATAACGACGCTTATGCATGTGCAAGCGATTACCTTATGTGGCGTAGTCAATCATGTGATCAATCCTCTGAGTTTACTTTTATGATTTATAAGGTCTGGGTAAGGGTAACGGTTAGGGCAGAGACAAGATTATATGTAAAATTGCAGTCCCGACAATTTTATTAATATTCCAAGACAGATTTAGGCATTGGTTTTCGAGTAATATTCATTTTTCATATCTTGTTTTGGATTTGTTTTGCCGGGCTGATCAAAAAATTTGCGCACCCTATTGGACATGGCTCACATGACGTACTAGACCTCTAATTTTGGTATTTCCATGCGTTTGGATGCCCGATTATTCGGGATTTAGTTTGTTGGGCTTATGAACTGTCAGAGTTCGTATCAGACACATAAATTATTAAACCTTAACTCTTAACCATAAAAAATAGACCAAGCCGTGAGGTTGATAGTTATTAAATTAGGGATACAAGGTTAAGATCTTCGCATTATTCCAGAACTTTCGTAATCACGTTGCAACGACAACAGTATTATTGCTTTGTTTAGCATCATCGGATCTAGTCCAAAATCCCGATTCCCAACATCCCAACGTCCAAAATCCTGACTTAGCAAAAATCCCGAAATACTAAAATTCCGACTCCCGAAATCCCCAAATGCGTAAAAGAAATTAAATTTCAATTGATGCGAGGATCTGTTCAAAGAATTCAAAGAATGAGCAGATTAAATTAATTTCAAGTATGATGCATAAATATGTAATCCTATCCTAAAAATAAACGAGGTTCCAGGCTAAAAAATTTTTTAACTAATTTCCCTATAAATATAATGAAAATATAATTTTAATACATCTAAGCATTGTTTGTAATAAATAGTTTAGTAATTATTTAATAAAGCAAATAAATTATCGAAAATTAAGTCTCGAATATTACAATTTTTTTAAAATTTATAAATTCATTAATCAAAAATGAAAATCAACAAATCAACAAAAACTATTTTATAAAACCAGTGCTATTAAGAAAATGTATACCAACGAGATTGATGCAACTGGAAAAACATATTTTCAAGTAAAAGGTGATTGCTATCCGCCATAACGTCAAATCAACAAATCTCAAAAATCCACAGATTATAAGTATTACGATTTTGAGTTCTCAGCATATCGAAATTCTTAATACGCGTCTTGATGATATAAAAGGCGTTTTTGATCGAATGACTTAACAAAGTAAAAACAAAATTAGTAGAGAATTTATATAATGTCTAGTAACACACAAAGCCGACACTCATATTCGTAAAATTGGCAAATGCCTTTTTTTACAGGGTTATAGACGCACAACTTTGTAAATAGCATATGTAAAATATTTATAAAGTCTGTTTTTATATTAAGGAATTTACGATCTTTTACATAAGCTGTTAACTATAAAAATGTAACTTTTTACAGGTGCTTGAAATATAGCAAATTTTTCTTAAATTTTCGTATTTTTTATATTTGCAGGCAACATATACCCATAACTTAATAGGCTCTACAATGAATTTTTCAATGAGGCGTATTTTTTTTAGTTTTTGAAAATTATAAAGATTTTGTTTAATTTATATATAAATTAAATTTTGTCTCCATTCGCACGTCAACTTATAAATTGTAGATTAGTAAAATTGCATATTGGCACAGAAAGATATACGCAATTTTAAAAATAATATTTAAAAAACAAAGGAAAAAAATAGAATTCAAATAATCAAACATTTTATGCATAAAAACTGCGAACGACGATACAAAAAGACTGAAAAAAAGACAAATGAAGTCGCTGCATTGTAAGAGATAAAAAGAACGAATATAATAAATATCTCTAATGAAATCAAACAATTAGAAAATAATGAACGTGGAATATGGTAAAAACTAAGATTAAAGAGAAAAAATCTTAATTCAACAAGACAGAAATTATAAAGAACAATAAGAATTAAATTATAGAATTTTAAATTTCAGTTAATACGGATTTAATTACTCACAATATACGTTGTACTTAGAATATCCCCGCCTGTCTGTAGCATTTCATTATCAATTGTTGGATGATTATTAGGTTGTAAGTCAGGTATGAATTCAACCTCAATTATTTGAATGTTAGAGGCAAAGCTGGGATCTGGATCAAATAAAATGTTTATTCCATTTAATACCGAAAAATCGGATCCTTCAACAAAATTAAACCAAATATTAGTGGGTATGTTATATTGCTGTCCCGTTTGGTGCAACTCATCAAGTCGAGTAGCAATCTCGTTGACTGAATAAGAATGATATAGAACGTTATGATCATTATTATCGAACACTTGGTTTGTATTTGTCATTTTTATTTTTATTTTTTTTTTGATATTAGAGTTTTTTACTCTTTATCGATAAGAACTCGAAGTCCTTTTATATAAAATCAAAGCTAAGCGATATTAAATAATGAAAAATATGTGTTCTCGCATTATTTATTAAATATTAATGTTCTAATATTGTATAAACTGACAATGTTTCGCTTCTATACATACTGTATTAAAAATAGAATTCAAATTTCTGTAACTTAAATGATTTGCTTTGCTTTTTCATTGAAAAGATTTGTACCAATATTACTATATAGAAGGGTCTCTGACTCAGAGCCCAGATTGCTTTTTCTGCTGGTGAATTCTCACAAGAAAACCTGTAATTTAACTAATTTGGTAGATTCTTCTCCTGTTAGAATTATACGGTATCAAATTCTCTAATTTATAACATAAATATTGTCACCTGAGCAAATTTTTGCTATACATGTAGTCCGAATTTGCATAAGATCATCGCACTCCCGCTCATACCATATATTGTACATGTACATCTCATTCAATTTTGACATCTCATGCACTGGGATACATGTACGCGTAATTGTCATCGGCGTTTTGGCGTGCATAAAAATTTATCATGCATTTAAACAAAACGAACTTTAGGATTTGATTGTGTGGGGATATTCCCGATAGGGAAGATCTCGAGTATTTTACCAAATGAACAAAATGAAATAGATTCTAAATGAAATGCAAGGATATCGATTAAGAACATTAATTATGTAATCTAAAAAAATTTTAGTGTCATTTGATTTTTTATTTTCTTTTGAACGATACTTTCAAGGTTTGCCACTTGACCAAAAATGTTGTCCAAATATCTATAGTGAGGGATATCCAATATTTATATGTAACATAAAGAGTGCTATAACTCAAAAACAAACAATTTTAACAAAAATCTCTTACAGATCTGTTGATTTTTGTCAAAGCTATAAAACAGATTTTTTTGTTAATTATAATTTTAAAAAGTTATAACACTTTAAATTTTATATGTGTTTGAAAATTTGACATTTATTATATAAAAATAAATATTCATACATTTAAAAATTTTTTAATTGCTTCTGATTGGTCAGTTTAATTAATATATAAAAGATCTGCAATAAAAAATTGGCATTTTGGCGCAGTATTGGATATCTTATGCTGTCCCTCACTGTATATAATTAAATTACTAATAAATTTTCTCTAAACTGTCCAAAATTGTCCAAGAGCTGGATACTTTGTATTATTAAGAAAATAAGTTTTCTTTAATAACCACTTCAGCAAGCAGATGTACAAATTAGTAAGCAGGACATATAATATATTTATAGAATTATTGTTGTCTTTAATGACTGCTCAACAAACCAGGTGTGAAATTAGTGATATAATTATAGAATGTTTCAGTCGAAGCAGTTTAAGAAATGTAAGCCATGCCATCGAAATTGATATAATTGAAAAGCTATCTTTTTAGAAAAATATGATTGCTTTACATTATGATCTCGATCGAAATTCACAGTAAAATATTGCAATTTTATTTTCTATATGTCGATATAAAGGCATTTTCTGATCTGAGGATGGAGGAAAAAGCAACGTATACTTTTTCTGCTATGACATATATTATTACATGAAATTCTTTATGCTTAACCCTGTTTATTATGATACCGTTCGTTTATCTCTTCTCTTACTATAAAAAACTTCGACCTTGATACTGTTAAAATTCAAATTTCTTCAGTTTAACATGATAGTACATAATAATAAAAATTTGAATTTCTTGTAAAGACAAAAATTTTATAAAAATCTTTTTTCTTTTTGACATTAAATCTTGACATTTAGTATAAATATTTACACCATTGTACAAAGATTTTTTTGCAGAATGATTCAAATACTGAATTTTAAGTGAGTCTTAATATCACGACTTCAACACTTGTTAATGCATTTCTGAAATATCGTAAAAGCGAAAAGTTCGAGTTAGAAAAAGTCTAACCTCTATGCAAAATTGTGTAACTGATATTATTATTGAATATAAAAATTATTTAAAATACTAAGATTGCATTTGTTACTTTGATAAATTCACATTATGTATTTTGTTTTTATTTTTCTTAAAAAACCTGGTTCCTGTAATTTAGTTATATAAAACAAACCAACATTTATTTGATTTTGGTCATATATTTAAAGAGAAGCATGACCTTTGATGTCTAATTCAAAGCAATATAATAAGAAAAAAGCCAATAAAGATTTTTAAAAAAGGTTTATGAATAGAAGAAAATATTTAGTGCATTTTCTATACAAACGATGCGATGTAATTACTAGAATCAAGGATAGAATTCAGTTAACGGGAGATCATCAATAATATACACTCGGCGGAAGGAAGTCACCGGACACTTTACCAACTATATGTAACAGCTAACATTTGATATCTTGCTGACCTATACTAATTTTTAATATATATCTGAATGTGTGACATTTTTTGATTGGTCATATAAATCTGTTAGAATTTGCTTTACATTTTTTTTAATTCTGTGTAAAATTTTGTAAATATTTGTTGCATTCAAACCAGTTTTTTGATAAAATGCACTAATTTATTTCATAAATGCTCAATTAAATTGAGCTTCGGTGATGATGAGGGTCAATTTGGTGTGTTTTGATATCTTTCTGAGAGATTTTGTTTTTATATCACCTGTCATATGAACTGCACATTATTTATTGAAAAAATAATAAATATTTGAATTGAATTCATGGCAATAAAATCATCACCAGACTTTAAAATTTGTTGACAATGTCAACATTCCTATCTAATTGTTAAGCATTGATGGTAATTATCAGATTAGTTAGCAATTAATTGCCAACAAATTGATGAAAATTGATTACCAGGTTGGAAATCTCCATAATAAAATTAATCGTTATTTCGGAACGTAATATTTCGGCATCGAGTCAAGTTAAATCAAATGATAATAAAAATAACATGTTTTGGACCACTGGATGCCGAAATATCACGCCACGAAGTAAATGATCAAGTTTTGGATGCAAAAATGGGAAGTTAATTTTCAGTGTCCAATGATTCAATTCACGTGATTTATCACCATTTACTTCGTCTAGTCAAGATTAATCAAATGATAGCGAAATTATGCGAATCAGACCAACAAATATGCTAAAAATATGTGATTTGTAAAGTGTCCGGTGACTTTCTTCCGCCGAGTGTATCCTTAAATGATTATGCATACAGTTGACTCTCTTTAGACCGATATTCTTTAATTCGTAGCCGAGCTTTAAATTTTAAATTATATGAATTTTAATGAGTTCAGTTTAAAAGAATAACGGACTCTATATAAACATAGTAATTTTCTATATAGAATTCTTTTTTTACCAGAACTATTAGTTCGTCTTAAATAAAAGCAACTGTATATAAATAAGTCTAATGTTCCTGCTTCGCTGTTTTATTGAAAAATCTTTACGAATAAAAATAATTTAAACAATATGCTTGAGTTTTTAAAGATAATATCTTAAAAAGTTATTTATCACTTTACTACTATTTCTTCAAACCAAAATTTCCTGCCTCAATTTCGTTAGATTTTATTTTAGCGTTATGGGGAAAATACTAATAATCATTTTTAAGTTTTCGCTTACATTACTGATAGAATACAGAATTAAGAAACTTTGCATTACTCTGTAATCACGAGATTTTTCGTTGCGAAAGCAAACATTAAACTCAACCAATTTAACAACCCTATAAGAAAAATCATCCTATAAAATTTACAAGGGTTCCCCTTGTAAAAATCCTGTAATCTGTTACAAATTACAGTGATTACAAGTTTTCGCAAACACCGAAGTGTTTTTGGTAGGCACTTACTTCTAATGCTAATTTCAATTTTCAGCTCAAGAGGGATTTGGGTTATTTAAAAACTCTAAAAAATGTTAAAGAGTTTTTCACTGCATCTATTTGTAATTTGCAACGGATTATAGTGACTTTCGCCTCGTAAAAACTACTATAATTGCCTGCAAAAATAACAGATGGTTATGAGGGTCTACAAATCATACTTTCTTAGAGGGCAAAGAACCAAAGGAAAACACTTTTAAGACGTATAAATATAATATTATCTTCAATGCATATTTTTAAAATTGATTATCGCTTTATTTATTTAAGATTTATGCAAATATTCAATAGTTATTTGAAGAAAGAAGTTTTAATTTATCGATGAACAATTGAATGGAAGTTAAATAATTTATTTCATATTTGCAATAAAATGTTTCTTAGAGTTTAATGCATTACAAAAGTCATAAATACATAAATATTATATCCGATATCTTCTCTAAGCTTAAAAGCAAATCAAATCATTTTAGTAAGATAAAAAAGGCATATCTTTGTCAATGTATGAATTAATGACTCGATTTAAATTCTCAGAATCAATATCACAATAATTTACTGCATATTATAAATAAAAGAAGATGCTGACTAGAGATGTGACCCAAGCTTATGACGATAACGAGACCAAATAAGCGATTATATACCGGTTATTACATGATTTTTATAGTCAGTTGATCTATCATACCATAGATAGACAGGTGACCATGTTTATATAAAAGTCATAGCATATGTCTGCCATTGTGATGATGGAATGCATGCTGATACATGTAATGATAAAATTTTCGTATCGATATACATGTATGCATACTTGTATGCAGGTACATTTTTGATGCCAAGCCATTTTTTATTCATGTCCAAGCTGTCCAAACTCTTGTATATTTTAAAAATATATAACATTATTGATTATACATAGTATTAAATTTTAAACATTTTAATTTAGGTTGTTCAAGCCAATTATCATAATAAATTTTAAGATATTATTCATTTTTTTACTTAAAAATTATCCAACTTTCATCAAAAACTGACCAATGACAACACTGCATGCACGCCTGATTTTCTATATAACGTATAGGAATCGGGCGTTATTTCGGTACCTATATGTCATAATTGTGGTTGCAAAATAATATACAAATAATAAAGCAGTATTTTCTGTACTATTTAGCCATGAAACCAAATCTTTTTGACCTGCGTATATACCGTAATTTGCCGTCTAGAATACCTCAAGTATGTTACATTTCACCAGCCAAAATCCGATTTATGACCCGGAAGGATACATTGCTCGGTGTGAGGTATATATAAATGATAGATTTACATTCTACCCATGGATACTATTCATAAAGGGTATGATACTGTAGGAGATATTTTAAATGGCAAATTACGGTATTTTTGATGCAGTAAAATCTTTGATACAATATCTTGGCGTATTGCATTCCGAAAAACTGGACAATCTATTCTTAAAGCCATCAAAGTAAAAGACTTTTTCAAAATTACTTAGTGGTAAATAATCATTTAAGATATAACTTTTAAATAGTAAATCATTACATGCATTGACTTAATTCTAAAATTCTTCAGTATGATAATATACATGAATGTAGGTAAATAAATATATCATATTATACTGCGATGAAGAATTATTTTTTGTCTATTCAATATAAAGGTAATAATAATAAACTTGTAACTTTATCAAGTTTATCAGGAATGAGGAATATCGAATATTTATAAAAAGCTATATTCCGAGTAACTCCGATTCAACATACAGCCAAGAAAATTCACAATAATTATGATGTACAAATAGCCTAAGCGCCTACATATGAAGTGAGTTAAGATTTTAAAATAATGTAAATGTTTCAAGTGTTATTTTATTTGATGCTATTATGAAATACTTAAAATAATAATAGCATCCTTTTTAAATGAGAAAATATTAAGGGTTGGGTCAATGAAGATAGTGAGACTATCATAATTATAAAAAACTACTGATACTTCTTCATTGCACAGCACAATTATAAATAGGGTGTATTAACGATTGCAAAAAAATGTTGGCCGCTTTTTATCACGTCACATTTTAAATATAATAATTTAATTCTCTTGGCCTATATATTCTTTGTTTGACCTCTATATTCTTTTGTTTGTTTATTACGCCATATTTATAAAGAATCAAATATGATTAAAACAGCCAACCGTTTTTTGAATGGATGTTTAAACAATGAGAAGCTTCTTTTCAACAAAGAAATAAAAAATTATAAAACGTAATTCAACCGTCTTTGAATGTTTGTCAAACAATGAGAATCTTTTTCAACAAATAAAAAAATTATAAATCACCTTTCTGTTCCGTTTATGCATCTTAATAACCAATTAATCTTATATTCCTTCGACGCCCGCGCCGCTGACGTATATAGATTTCGTCAAAATGAGTTTTTTGTTTATAAAACGAAAAGTATTATTTAAGAAAAAAGATTATGTAATCTGTATTCTATCGATCAATCTCCTGTTTAATAATCACACCATAACGGTACACGAAAATAATCTCCGAATCTATTGTGAAAAAATTTTTTATAAAAACTCGAAGGAAGTTATTTCATACTTTTTGTGAATAATAATTTTGACTTCAATTTTGAGCAAATATTAAATAGGTTTAAGTTGAATTTCTCCATATCATAAGAATCTTATTTTACTCTTTAAAATATTTAATAATAACAATGACACTTGCAAAGTTGTCCATACATGAAAAAGATTGTATTCGAAAAATTGATACAACTGGGAAAAAGCATATTTTCTATGTGCAAAACGAAAAATACCAATCATTAAGGAGAAGAAACCGCAGAAACGATAACAACAACAAAAATAAAAATCCTTGTAAAAATTGCAATCAATCCAATGAATATTTGGCGCTTTTGGAGAAACGAATTGAACAAATAGCAAATAAAGTCGATCAGCTTGCAAACATAAACAATTCTGATGTCTCTCCTGATTTCAATATAAACAAAAGTTCAATCAAAAACAATCCTGATTTTTCGCAAATGGTAAGTTTCCAATATCTATTATTTAAATATTAGACAACAATAAATAAATGTTGATTAAATCAAATTACATATTCTTAGGATACAGATGACCTAATAAATATAGCAACATATTTGAGCTCGAATACAGCCCACTCCCTTACGAATATTTATTTTCTTTTACCAATTTCTAATTAGGTTAGAGTTTAAATAATACTCATCAGATAAAGTTTTACGGTTTAGCACGATTTATACGTATTCGTATTACATAGCACTTAAAAATTGATACATCCCAATGAAGACAATCAATTATACTTCAAGTTAATGCTCAGAAGCTACTAAATAAAATTCTATATCGAACAAAATCATACATAATAAATACATACTAAGAAATACCCCCCAAAGTCTGGACAAAAGATAGCAAATGAGCGAACTCAAAATTGTATATTCATTCTCTTGTAACAAAACTTTAATTGTAGACTAACCGATTTTGTTTAATATGATTTCACAGATTATCGGTAAATTATCTTTATTTACTTGCAAAAAAAATTTGCAAAACTAAAGGCCAATCAACTTCATTTATAATATCTTTTAATATGTCTAATATGCCAAACAGAATCCATGGTTAATATTAACAAAGAACATTGTTTATGTACCGTATTTATTCTACAATGAAATTCCTTGTGTAATATTGATATATGGGATAGGGTAATATTAATGTTTCTAGAAAGGCGAACTGATACGAACGTTTTTATCTTTTGCCTAACTTTATTTGGTTATAAAAAAATGGTTCGCGAACTTTATAAATAGACTTCCTTTTCATATATTGAATCATTTAACTGTAACTATATTGTTCCCCTCAAACTATGCTTTTCATAGGAAGTTCTATGTAAAATACTCGGTGTATTATATGCAAATATTATGTAATAGTTAAAGGAATTTGAACAGAGATGTTATAGCCTATTATTTTTTGAACATATAGTTGTCCTGAAATATCAATCTTAAATCTTAAACAATCAAAATCAAAAGTATAATTGTGAGTTGGCTTTCTGAACCATCATTAATTATTATAAAACTTCGTGAGGTAGCCAAAATGAATCATTTATGCAGTCAGTCGCTATATAAACATGCACAATTATTTTTAAATTAATTAAATTAAGGCTTATCACTAAGAGCATAGACTAGATTGAATTTTTATTCAATCGGTCCCGATCCTTACTACGCATTAAAATAGGTTAGCGTTCGAAAATTACCATTGATAAAATAAATACAGTTAATATATCGATATTAATATGTATAAGTTTTCATTTACATGCAGTTGATCGATCGATTAATACAGAACAGGAACAGGGAAAAAGATATCGATATCCATTTTTTTCGATAATCATGTACAGTTATTAGGCAATCAATGATTTATTTTATAGTGAACAACAATTTTTCAACTCAGATTTTAGAAATCTTTCAAAATTAAAATTCTTCTTACAGAAATGTTGGTTTACTAAAAGCTATCAATCTACAAGAGGGTTTTTATATAATTACTTGTTTATAATATTTTGTACAAACTAGCTTAAAAGTGGATGTCGTTTGCCGTCCAGTATTAACAATTAGAAAGAAAACAAGGAAATAATTTGTCCAAATATTTCATTATAAATTCTATGAGTTTACTCGCGAAAGAATATCCATCTGCACGTTATTTCGAGTACGCCCATGTACGTTATTTAGAATATAGAGTCGATTTTCTGAGTCTGAGTCACGAATTGTCCTAATCTAAAAAAGCGAACTCTTGGTTCTTTATAAATAACGTTGTATTCAACGCATTTTCGAAATTTGGATCCGTCAGGAAATTTACGAAATTACAATCAACTATTACCTCCGATATAAATTCATTATTCCGATAGGATGTCTTTAATACCGATTTTAATTGTTCAATTTTCGAACTACATGTATATGTTGGCGTATTTGATACGAAACCAACTATATTCTGCAAACAAAAAAATGTGTGCACATAACATAAATCTACTGTTATACAGTGCATTAAGAAAGTCTTTGGACAATTTTGTATAACAAAATTGTACATATATAACTTTTTTAGAATCAGATAATTAAAAATATATGTATAATAAATCTCTGACTTTTTAGATTCCTAACCAAGCTATTTTTTTATATAATTTGATATTGTTAATATAAAATTTTTATACATAAAATTACAAAAAATTGTCCAAAGACTTTCTTAATGCACTGTATGGGTACGCGTTATTTCGGACATGAGCGTTTTTCGAAACAGATGGCTATTTTTAAAGATGCGATCTTCGCGAGTATGTGGTATTCAATCCATTTGAAATGTGTGTCACATTTATGGCGTGTATGGCGTAAGAATAATTGCATTAATTCATATTTACTTTATAACTCAACTAAAACCAATGAATTTATCAATTACAAGTGAAGTCGAGAATCATTATAGCGGGATTCGGCCTACATTGGACTACTGTAAAAGTCAGACATAACAGTCCTACTATGGGACGCCACATTTAATAATCATCATATCTTATTTGAATTTAGTGGATAAGTACAGCAAGGTAAGATTAAGAACAAGACTGAATAGTTTATAAGGGTTCTTTATTGTTCTAAAGGTTTCCCGTGGTGATTTGTACGCAAATCAACTTTACAAATATTTATTATTTTTCTTAGACGAAGTACAAAAGGAGGTTTCTGATTACCAGAGTCTAAACTAGATTACGAAAAGGTTCCGAGAAGGTTTCTGATAAGTACGTAAGTTACAAAAGTTACTCCGGGAGCAACGACCCAGTTAACTAAAAACTACAATGTTCAACATCAGAAGTTGGACAAAAGAGAGTTATGGATTATGTTGGTGAAGGTCATTCACTACTTGTTCGCAAGGTTTGAAGATAATCAAAATAAAGGGAAAAATAATTATTACAAGAATATTTACAGGTAAGGATTTATTTTTATTTATTGATTAGAGCATAACGTTTCAGAGGTTGACTTTCTGCCTTTACAGTGGCGCTCAAAAGTATTGCATCACCCGGACGATAAATTTCACGATTTAATAACGTTTCATATACAACATCAATCAATATATAAATAGGCTCATTTTAATGCCTATATATAGACAAAACATTGTATCGTATTTATTTTTCATGTCGTACATTTAAAAAAAATAAACCACATTTTACATCAATCCGTTTCTTTTGATCGTTTTGAAAAATAAAAATAAAATCAATAAATTAAATAAATTTAATCCCCAATTTTAATTACTACCTAGTATAGCCATCCTTTGCATTACATTTTGAATGCGTTCTTCCATACTTTCAATTAACTTCATTAAAAATGCATTATCAATTTCGATACAAATTTTTTGTATCGCATCCTAGAGTTGATCTTGAGTATGGATACCAATTGATGACTTTCTCAAACAACGATCTATTTCATTCCAGAGATGCTCAATCGGGTTAAGATAGGCAGGCCAATATCAAGCAAACGGATATCATTATCATCAAACCATTCGTACATAGATTTTGCCATGTGTTTCGGATCATTGTCTTGTTGAAAGACAACATCATTTTTATTAATTTCATACCACTGGATTGTTCCTAAAATGTCATCATTTAAAGATTTCATGAGATAAATTCTTATCCATATGACCATAAATGCATATGATATTACTAACGCCGAAAAATCCAAAGCAACCCCAAACCATTATATTCCCATTCCCAAATTTTACTGCAGGTTTCACATGATGCTCTTTCAAAGGTTTGTCATCATATTTTCAATAAAATTCATGTCCATCTGGATTAAAAATCATAAATTTTGATTCATCTGACCAGATGACTTTGATCCAATCATTAATAGTCCACTGATAATATTTTTTCACAAAATTTAAATATTGAATTTAATTTGTTTTTTTGAGATATGGTTTTTTTCACTTAATTTGTGAAGAAAAACCATTATGATGTAAAGTTTGCTTTATTGTGCTTGTACTGATATCAATTTTATCATCAGTTTTTATTTTTTTGGATAAATGTTGCAGTGAAAAAACTATATAATATTTTGTTCATCACATTCAGTAAAAATTTTTGAATGAACTGGTTTTGGTAAACCTTTAAAGATATTAGGAGTAATAATGAAGAATTGGAAAATATTTTCATGATTTGTAATATAATGAGAAGAATATCCTTCTTTAAGAAGAGTGTAAATTTGGAATCTTTTTTTGACAGGAATATGTGCCATAATAATTTTAAATATACAAGATAAAAGAGTGAATTCATAAGTATATTTTATTTATAGGAGATGTGTTTTGTTTTGTTGTATTTTTTATATATTTCTATATTTATTTTAAAGGGGGAAATAAACAAAAGAAATATACCATCAGTTTGATATAATAAAGTCCAAGTTAAGCAAAATGATATTATATTTTATTTTTTTAATTATATGTACTATTTATTCATGCTTTTAACTATATATGGGCTAAATTTTATTTATCTGTAACTAGTAATTCTAACCAGTTAATTAATTAAAGATTTCTTATATAATTAACCATTTCTAAATATAGATATCATTGCTAAATAAGAATTTATTAGTTTTATAATTATATATATAATGATAAAGATAATAATAATAATAAATCAACTTGAATATAATTATATAATTATATTTATTAAATAATAATAATATGAATAAATATCAAATAAAATATTAAGTTATATCTTTTTATTCTTATGACTCTATTAATAAAAATTTTAGAATAGAGTTTAAATTTTCATATCAAGAACTAATCATATTAATTATATAAATTATATATAATAATAATAATAATTAAATTATTACAAATCAAAATAAATTATTATCATAAATCAAAATACTATAAATAAAAACAAAATTATTACAAACTAAAATTAATATAAAATAAAAATATTATTAATTAGAACAAAATTATCACAAATTAAAATATTATTAATATTAATATTATAGATCAAAATATTATAAATGAAATATAATTTTATTTTTTTTTCATATAATTCTATATTTAATAATTAATAACTTCAAATTTGTAAGTTAATAATAATAGACTTTAATAATTTTAAAGACTTTAAAAAAAGTAATACTAATACTAAAGATAAATATATATTATTAGTTATTTTACCAATTACTTTCCATTTTTTATGAATATTTACATTAAT